AGGATGCAGGACAAACCCCAGTGTGGTCTCCTCCATGCTCATCTCCACCTCTGTCCCCCAGCCCACTCGCTCCCTGGCTGCTCCTGCAACAAACCAAGCACGCGTGGGCCTCAGGAACTTGGTACCTGCTGCTGCTTCTACCTGGAGCACCGGCTCCTACACGTCCTTAGGTCCGGCCTTAAATAGCACCTGCTCAGAAAGCCTTTCCCGATTTCCCCACCCTGAGTCACCATCTCTACCATAAGCCCTAATAGCAACTCCTTTCTTTTTCTTCATAGCTTTTATCACAATTTATCATATATTCATTAGCGTGAGTAGTGGTTTAATATCCACATCTTCCCCTCTCAAATGCAACCACTGAGGTCAGAGGTCATGTCTAATTAGTTCAACATTGACCCCCCCCCACCCCCCGTGGTGTCTAAAAGAGTGCCTGGCTCAAGTAGGTGCTCCATAAATGCTTCTCGAGTGAATACGCTGTCATTTTCGAACTGCTGATATTTGGGGCTGGCTCCTTCTTTGTGGTACAGTCTGTTCTGTGCACTGTAAGATGTTGAGCAACATCTCTGGCCTTGGCCCACTAGATATGATAGCACATGTCTCTCTCCTGCAGTTTGAACAGACACAAACATGTCTCCAGAAACTTCCAAGTGTCCTCTGGGCAGGGAGGAACACTGGTGAGAACCCCTGGAATATAGGAATGAGGGAAGGCCTGGCCAGTGCACCCCAAGCTACAGCAGCCACGCCCCTTTTCATGTGTCCACATCTTGAGAGCACTGATATTTGTGTAAATCATTCCACGCAGCACCGTGGAAACTTTCAAAGACAGGGAATAGCAGCAAGCCCATCTCTGCTCCCAGAACTAGCCCAGGATTTGAGACACAGAAGCCCACGAATATTAAATAGATGATAAAAGCTGGCATGTATCAAGTGCTTACTGTGTGCCAGCCCGTCAATTGCCCTGCAGAGATGATGCTACTTAATTCTCAGAACTATCCTCAGAAGTGGAGACAATATTATTTAACCCGTTTTCATGATGGGAAACTGAGGCTAAAAGATGAATGTGATTTAACCAAGGCCGCTTTGCTTCATCACTTAACCACGTCCTATCCCTATCTGCAATTCAGAGCATCTCTCTCTCTCTTTAAAAAATGTATCTTTATTGTTGAACGTATTACAGATATCCCCTTCCTTCCCCAATTGACCCTCTCCCTCCTATTCCTCTCCCCTCCCTCAGACCATCTCTCTTTATCTTTTGAGAGAGCAAGGTCTCCTTTGCATCTGCGGTGGCCATGGTGTTGAGTCTTGGGGACCATAGAGAGCAGGCTATTCCTGGAGAAGGAGGTTCTGGGAGGAGGGAGACAGGTGAGGAAGCTCAGGTAAAGTAGCGCTTCTCCCTGTGGCGCCCCCTGCTGGACCACAGCCCTCTTTATGAGGTCCCACTTCTGTGGCCCTGATATAAGATGGATACTTTGAAGTAGGTGGGTCCAATTGGTCATTTCCTCACCTCACTCCTCTCCCGCTGATCCTTAGCTCATCAACCAAAACATGAAATTATAATATTATCCTAGCTACTGTTTCAACAACTTGGGGGATGAGAACCTCTTAGGATACTGGAGTGTTTCATTTGAAGAGGGACTAATCCTCCTTGGACAGCGGACCCGCACACCCCACTGTAGGAAGACACTGTGTGAAGTATTGGAATCCGAAAAGATTTACCTTGGAAAGCTGGCCCTACAAAGCGTGGTCTTGGATAAGTCATGCAACGGGTTTGAGCTTCAGGTTTTCCTCTTTATACTAAGTGGATGTGAGTTTGTCGGCCCTCATCCTCCATTGCGAGGCCGTAATGAGGTCCCGTACGTGCAGAGTTAGCGGGAAACGTGCTGTATATTCTACAAAGGAAGATGCTTGGGGCTCCCCAGTTTTCACTGAAATTCCGAATCACCCCACTTCGTGTTAACATGGGATGTTTTTACTGCTTCAAGCTCTAGAGAAATAATTCAACTTCAGGACAAATGATGAAGAGTTGACTATTCAACTTAAACAGGAATGCATATATTTCCTTTTCTCTAACTTTGGCTAATTTGACTAATTTAGTGCTTGGGCATTTAAATTATATTTTGTTATGTACAGCAGTATCACCATAAACTTGTGTCCATTACGTATTATTATAAATTGTTATTTTAAAATAAATGCATAAGTTTATATTAAGAGACAACTTAAGTTTTCAAGGAAACCTTATTTTTTAAAAATATATTTTATTGATTTTTTTAAATATATTTTATTGATTTTTTACAGAGAGGAAGGGAGAGAGATAGAGAGTTAGAAACATTGATGAGAGAGAAACATCGATCAGCTGCCTCCTGCACATCTCTTACTGGGGATGTGCCCGCAACCCAGGTACATGCCCTTGACCGGAATCGAACCTGGGACCTTTCAGTCCGCAAGCCGACGCTCAATCCACTGAGCCAAACCGGTTTCGGCTTTATTGATTTTTTTACAGAGAGGAAGGGAGAGAGATAGGGACGGGGAGTCAGAGATTTTAAAGGACTCTAGGCGGGCTTTCTCTTGGAGGAGAATTCTCTGGGCAGTCGGGATCCTGGGAAGATCTGGAGGGCGGGGAGAGATAATGGTCTTAGCAAGTGGAATGTGGTCTAAGCAAAAGGAATGTCTGTTGTGAAGTGGTCTAAAGGTCAGCTCCCAGGGGAGGGGCATCGATTCAATGGTTTGACCAAACCCAACAGTCACATAACTATAATTCCTTTTTTTGTGGTGGGAACAATTGAGGTCTAGTCTCTTAGCAACTTGGAAGG